GTCTTCCATGGTGGCACTACACCGAAAGCGTGGAGCAGAAGTACGGTGGTCTTGTTCTTTAAGAAAGCCGACAACGCTCTCTTGAAGAACTACAGACCGATAACACTTGTGAGCCACGTCTACGTGCTGTTTTCGAGAGTCATTACGAACCGACTCGCACGTAGACTCGACGACTTCCAGCCTCCCGAACAAGCCGCTTTCCGAAGAGGCTTTAGTAACATAGACCACATACATAATCTTCTGCAAATTGTACAGAAGTCCGAGTAGTACACATACACATACAGCGAGTACATAACTGAACTTCGATTTGCCGACGATATAGCTCTTATGGCAGAATCGCTGTAGGACCTAAGCACTATCCTCAATGACCTCAATAGTGTCTCACAAGGGATAGGTCTTAAAATGAAGATGGACAAAACGAAGATCTTGTATAACGTCCATTTCACACCTATGCTAGTAGTTGTTGGAAGCACTAAGCTCGAAGTTGTTGAAGAGTATGTTTACCTGCGACAATAGTCCGACTAGGTTAGTCCAACTTCGACCGAGAGGTCAATGGACGGATTCAACTCGGCTGTGCAGTGTTCGGAAAATTACGGCACATCTTTTCGTCAGGTATACCTCAAAACTTGAAAACTAGACTGTACAACCAGTGCGTGTTGCCAGTGATGACCTATGGAACTGAGACTTGGTACTTTACTGCTGGCCGTATTAGGAAGCTTAAGGTCGCTCAGCGAGCTATGGAGAGGGCTGTGCTCGCGGTGTCTCTGCGTGATAAACTTAGAAATGAAGATATCCGCAGTAGCAGAGTGAATGACATAGCTCAACGGTTTATTAAGCTGAAGTGCCAATGTGCCGGCCATATAGCTCGAAGAACTGACAACCGACGGGAAAGAGGTTCTCGAGTGGTGGCCTCGTACCGGCGGATGAAAAGTAGGGCGTCCACTCACTAGATGGAGTGACGACATGGTAAGACATGCAGGAAGTCGATGGATGCAGGTGGCTCAGGACCGTGCTTTGTGGCATTCCTTGGGGGAAGCCTATGTTCAGCAGTGGAATTGTGATAGACTGTAATGATGATTGAAGATTAAAAGTATAACTGTATGTAAATCTGCACTAGATTATATAGTCTGATAATGGGCAATTATCCGCATTACCGATATTTGAATTACTGCATGTCGAACTCCCGAAGCAATCGTTTACACTTTGGCAAACGCAGCGATATCGCAAAATTGCTTCTGTGATTGAGGATAATAATATAGTTGTTATGTATGTATATACATTTGTATACCTATGTATTACAATGCGTGGCTGTGCCCACGCGCCCTCTGTTAATAAATCAGTGCATAGCAAGCTACCGGCCGTTTAACTCGCTCCCTGACCGCATACTTAACATTGGCGACGAGTACCCGCGTAAAAAGTAATTAAAAATGGCTAATTCATATTTTGGAATATTATCCAGTTTTAACCACGATTTCGAAGAGTGGAAAACTTATAAAAGCCGAATAAATCAGTGGTTCTTGGCAAATGAAATTAATAACACGACGGATCCGAGCGGGAAAAAGAGAAGAGCAATTTTGCTAAGTGCACTCCCGGAGGGTACCTATAGGCTCGCTGAGAATTTAGCCTTACCCAAGGATGTGCAGGAGGTGCCCTACGAAGACATCCTACGAATCCTCGACATCCATTTTAACCCGAAGATTGTCGGTTTCACGAAACGACACAACTTCTATGCAGCATCGCAGCAACCCAGTGAAACACATTCACAGTGGGCCGCGAGACTGCGCTGTCTTACGTCACGCTGCGCTTTCCATGATATCGAAGAGGCCCTACGAGACCGGTTTATTATGGGAATGATGCTTAGTCTTGAGAAAGAGAAACTTTACGCCCAAGATATTACAAATCTAACTCTCACGAAAGCTGTAGAATTTGCTGAAAACGTCCGTTGTGCGAAATCAGCTGCAATCGCCAGTGCCAGTACAGCCAACGCGTCCGCAGCTTCTACTGGCGCGTTGTACAAGATTAGATCAAGAGATAAAGGTGCAAGAAGTGTAAAAAGTGATCTTTCGGTAAAACAAAAGTGTAAAGTGTGTGGCTATACGAACCACAAGGCTTCGGAGTGCCGGTATGCGGATTTCGTATGTAGTGTAGTGTTATGCTACTTACTTATCATTTTACATTATTTTAAATTCATTTTTCCATTCTGTTTCGATTTTCCGCATTCACCTCAAAACTGGATATTTTACATCACCTTTATTTCCATAGGATCCTGTAACGATTTTAAACCATAAGAACACAATAACAAATCATTTCTACTTCGTATTTTCACATTATCAGCACTTTTAAATTGGTGTCAATGGAGTCTACCTTTTTTCGATCTTTTATTTAGTTTTCCGTAACTCTGCAATTTCGGGCTTTGTGCGTGCAGTTGCGCTACCTTTTTTCCTATATCAATAATATCTCATTTTTCACTTAAATCTTGCCGTTTTTCTATTACAAGCCTAAAACCAAAATTTGACATGTTTTGACATCGTTGTTTATTTGGTCGCTATGACAATTATATTCAAATTTGCTACCTGTCTGTTGTTTCTATTTCGATAATTCCACATAAATACTCTTTCCTCTTGGCCATTTACAAAAAATTTGCGTTTAATTTAAATAATTTTTCCGTTCTCTCTTGAAAGGTATAAAAGCCGAACAATCGGTGAAGAAATTCAGTCCCGCCTGAAGTCACCGGATCCTGCAGGCCTCTGTCCTGTCTGAAGTCGCTGAGGATCCTGCAAGCCTCTGTCCTGCCTGAAGCCGCTGGACCCTACAAACCTCTGCTCTGCCTGAAGTCGCCGGATCCTATAAACCTCTGCTCTGCCTGAAGTCGCCGGATCCTGCAAACCTCTGTCCCGCCTGAAGTCACCGGATCCTGCAGGCCTCTGTCCTGTCTGAAGTCGCTGAGGATCCTGCAAGCCCCTGTCTTGCCTGAAATCGCCGGATCTTGCAACCACCTCATTCACCTTAGGTCGTCGCCTAGAGACGCCCACACCTTCTCACCTACGCCGAGCGTGCTCGTTCCAGGCGCTGAGAGCACTTGCTGTACACCTGGGATCTTCGAGCTCAGCTTCGACACTAATCTCTTTTTTTATTACCTTTTTTTTAAATAATTTGTAAATCACGACATCCATCCTCATCTTCATACTCCATTTTGTTACATAAAATTGTAAATATCTTTTGAATCTTAAATATATTATTTGTTTTTGTTCTATTTTTGTTGTTTTGCTGTTACTAGGTTAGGTTCTCTTTTGTATTTAATTGTCGCTTCACGACAGAAGGAAGTGTAACGTCGTAGGCCATCTACGTGGAATGTGTACGTCAAATAAAGTTAACTACGTAGATAATGGAGCCGGAGACGAAGACATCGGTGATGATGGTAAGGTATTTAAAATTCGTTCGTTGCGGGGTGAACCGATGGTCGAGACCGTGTGAATAATCGTGGAACGGCGTTTAAGTTTGAAATAGATAGCGGTTTCGCCGTAACTGTGATACCGGAAAAATTATATAAATCTCATTTTAAAGATATTCCATTGATCGTTCCGCATAAAAGATTGATGAGCTACACGGGTGATTGCATAACCGCTCACACACGCTCGACGTGTACGTCGTCCGGGACGGCGGGCCGCCGCTCCTCGGTAGGGACTTTATATCTACATTCCAATTAGAGTTATCATCAGTTTTATCAACGGTAAATTACTATCAGGGTACCCTTACCTCAGTGGAAGAACTGCAATGTCAATTTCAAGTTCTTTTTTCGGATAAATTAGGTCGTTTTACTAAACATAAGATGCACTTACAGTTAAAAGATAATGCAAAACCAGTTTTCTTTAAAGCGAGACCGATTGCATTTGCCCTACGGAATAAAATAAACAGTGAACTAGATAGAATGGTTGAGTATTAAATCCGGTTGACCACGCAGACTATGCGTCCCCTATAGTCCCTGTTTTAAAAAGAAATGGCACTATTCGCTTGTGTGCCGATTACTCGGTTAGTATTAATAGGCAATTAATTATCGACCAGTATCCTCTGCCAACTGCCAAGGAATTGTATGCAAAGCTTTATGGTGGAAAAAAAATCACCAAGTTAGACTTATCTATGGCTTATAACCAATTTGAGCTGGATGACGAGTCACAAAGGTACACTGTAATTAATACTCATCGTGGATTATACAAGTATACCAGGCTAGTCTTTGGGCTTGCTCCAGCGCCAGCAATTTTTCAGCGCGCGATGGATGGCCTAGTTGGTGGATAGGAGAGCGTGCTGTGTTTGTTGGATGACGTGCTCATTATGGGGCGTGACGCCGCCAAGCACGCTGCACGCCTCCGGGTGGTGTTGCAGACATTACAAGAAACAGGATTGACCTTGCAAAGGGAGAAGTGCGAGTTCTATAAAGATGAGGTTAACTACTTGGGTTATGTTATCAATAAGAATGGGTTGAAAAAGTCTCCAGATAAAATTAAAGCAATAGTAGACTCCCCTGCACCATCAAATATTGTACAAAATTTGTACCAAGTGCAGCGTCTGTTTTAAGCCCATTTTATAATCTGCTAAAAAAGGGGGTAAAATGGTCGTGGGGATCATCAAGAGGCATTCACTAAAATAAAACTGTTATTAGCTTCAGACCAGGTACTCGCCCACTTCAACCCCGAAGCAAGGCTAATCCTGACTGTAGACGCGTCTCCGGTTGGCTTGGGTGCGATACTGTTGCAAGTAGGTTCCGACGGACAAGAAAGAGCGATTTCGTTTGCATCGCGTACTCTAAATACCGCAGAAAAACGATATTCACAAATACAGAAAGAAGCGACTGCAATTACATTTGGAATTAGGCGCTTCCATCAGTATTTGTACGGTAGAAAAATCAGTTCGTATTAAGAACAGATCATAAGCCACTAATTTCGATATTCAGAACGTACAAAGGTATTCCGGAAATATCGGCGAATCGACTACAGAGGTACGCAATGTTTCTAAGCGCGTATAACTATACGATCGAGTATATATTAAGCGCTGATAACAGCGCTGACTATTTGTCTCGCTCAAGTATTTCGGAGGCGAGGCACGCGCCCGACACGGGTGCAGGCGCACTCGATAAGTGCACTGCGGACGACTTCACTTCGAGCGACCGCGCGGCTTACGTGTGTTTTGTGGTCGACACGAGTTTACCGATTACGGTTTCAGAACTACGAGATGAAACAAAAAGGGACAAAATTTTATCTAAAGTAACCGAATATGTTAAACACGGTTGGCCTAAGAAAATAAGTGATTTGTACCTTAGGCCTTATTTTTCATGTAGAACGCAATTCTCGGTTGAAAATGGATACTTAATGAGAGGTCATAAGGTCGTGATTCCCGAAACGTTGTGTAAAAGGGTGTTAGCTGAGTTACACAAAACACATCTGGGTATCGTAAAAACCAAGGCCGAAGTTCGATCCAGATTTTGGTTTCCGGGCGTAGATGAGGCCGTGGAGCATATGATAGGGACATGTGAGGTATGCATCAACCTGCGGCCATCCCCTCCGCGCGTGCCGCCTGCCCCCTGGCCTCGGGCACACCACACTTTCACCCGCGTACGTATGAATTTCCGGGGTCCCATAGCCGGTCGAATGTATTTAGTGGTCATTGATTCGTACTCTAAATGGCCGGAGATTTACGATACAGCTAGTTCTACTTCCTCTGATACAGTCATTGAAAAGATGTACAAATTCATGTCTAGGTTCGGCATACCGCAAACGATTGTAAGCGACAATGGAACAGCGTTTACTTCACAAGAATTTAAACGTTTCTGTGAAATAAACAGGATATCACACATTACGTCGCCACCGTATCACCCGGCAAGTAACGGTCAAGCCTAAAGTTATGTAAAAATAGTCAAAAAGGGTATAAAATCAAGTATTATGTCTAGCAGCAACACAAAACAATCAAAAAACAATTTATTAAAGTTTTTGTTTGATTACCGGAATTCAAAGCACTCGACCACCGGCATGTCACCCGCCGAGTTGATTTTCGGGCGAAAGCTAAACTCGCGCTTAGACAGATTGGTACCTACGTCATCGCTGTCTACGTCTGCGGTTTCATCCGATTTGATAAATGCGCAAAAATGTCCACAGAAGGAAGAACCAGTACGTATGAAGCAAATGCTACCTGGAACTTTCGTTTTATATAAAAAATATGTAAATAACAAGTTTACCTGGTCTAAGGGAACGATAACAAAAAGAATTGGCAAAGTTATCTACTTAGTAAAAGATTGGGACACGCAAATATATTATCGAAAACATAAAAATCAATTAATTATATATAAATCTCAAAGTAATGACTATAACGCATGGGACGTGGACGCTTACGAGAAAAGGAATCCTGTGTCAGGGTCAAAATAAGTTACTGAGCTTTTCTGTCAAGAAATTCTTAGGAGCAGCCCGGAGTCAGGAAGTTAGCGGTGAATTCCCCCTGTGAGAATCAGAAGCCCCTGTGAGAAGCAGATGCCCCTGTGAGAAACAGAAGCCCATTTGAGAAGCAGAAGCCCCTGTGAGAATCAGAAGCCTCTGTGACAAGCAGAAACTCCTGTGAGAAGCAGAAGCCTCTGTGCGAAGCAGAAGCCTCTGTGAGAAGCATAAGCCTCTGTGAGAAGCATAAGCCTCTGTGAGAAGCAGAAGCCTCTGTGAGAAGCAGAAGCCCCTGTGAGAAGCAGAAGCCCCTGTGAGAAGCAGAAGCCTCTGTGAGAAGCAGAAGCCCCTGTGAGAAGCAGAAGCCTCTGTGAGAATCAGAAGCCCCTGTGAGAATCAGAAGCCCCTGTGAGAAGCAGAAGCCCCTGTGAGAAGCAGAGGCCCCTGTGAGAAGCAGAAGCCCCTGTGAGAATCAGAAGCCTCTGTGCCAAACAGAAACTCCTGTGAGAAGCAGAAGCCTCTGTGAGAAGCAGAAGCCTCTGTGAGAAGCATAAGCCTCTGTGAGAAGCAGAAGTCTCTCTGAGAAGCAGAAGCCCCTGTGAGAAGCAGAAGCCCCTGTGAGAAGCAGAAGCCTCTGTGAGAAGCAGAAGCCTCTGTGAGAAGAAGAAGATCCTCTGAAAGCATATCGGTCCTGCGCCTGCGCCTGCGCCTTCCGGTGTAGGTTTTCCGCCCCATTGGACTATAAGTGTGAGATAATATAGAGTGCTCATGAACATTCGTGCACAATAATTCTGTCTTGTGATTTCACCGTGGCTGAAACTCGTATATTATTATTATTATATTGATTTATATTTTCGTCAAAAATATAAAATAGATTTCGTCGACGGTCGTTTATATCTTTGATAACATGATCATATTTAAAAAAAAAGTCTCAGCAAAGTGTTCGTCTTAAAATTATTTCTCGATAGCGATATAAGGATGTCATTTTTCTTACAACTGTAAGGACAGAATGGATCGCCGGACTCGAGTGAACGATAAACACTGCTGGGTTCCTGCTGTAATTGACAGTGTAAAATGTGGCATGGCAGCATGGAAAATATTTTTAACTCTACGGTGTCAAAACCAATATATCATTTAACTATTTTCCGATATTTGCTATAAAATATTGAATTTATATTTTATTGCAAATTTACGTGTATTCGAGGTGTGAGAATATCCACCACTTCATATCGTCCCGTGGGATTTATAAGAGGGTGCAGGGGGAAACAAACCATAAGATGGGCAGTAGCGTCTTCCTATTAACGTCTAAAAATAAAAAATTAAAACTGTGAAAACTCGCCTACCAAGCGTGGTATCTATGGCAATTGGACTTTGTTAATCAAAAAAATCTAACCCACAAAAGGCTACTTTTGAAATATTGACGTTTGAAATCTTCTGGAAGAAGTTTCCTAGAGAGGTAACTTTTTTAATAAATATATTTCTCTCTTGACTGAGATATTGTTGGAATTTCTTTTTTTCTAGAAATTTGACCGTTACATACGAATTTCCTTTATGTACGAAGCCTGAACTGTCGCAGCTGTTCGAACGGTCAAAGTATAAATAATCGGCTTACCGACCGGACACTTACCGACGGAGTTTCATCCGCCTGAAATAATAGACTAAAACTATAGGCATTTGTGAGTTACTATATTAAATTATATTATATATTTTACATTTACAGTAAGATTTTTCATACATTTTTATCGAATTCCAAAAAGAAAGTGTCGATTAAATAGTTTTTGTTTTCAATTTTACTTAATATTTTCGAATAACTACCTAATTATTTAAACTTTTAAACCCCGCAAAATATTTAATTTGCAATAGCCGAGACCCGAGATAGCTTAGATGCTAAGCATTTGTTATGGCGCGCCAGTACCTACGTGCTTTACCGGGATTCGATCCCGCCGTCATCAATGACATTATTATTTGTAAACGAGAATGCGATTTTTGGGCCTGAAGTTAACTAATTAGTTTATACTCCAAAAATATGGCCAAAGTTTTCTTAAGTAAAATACAAAAAAGTAGCTCTTTTTACAATCTAGATTTCGAAAAAACAATAAAATAAGAAATAAGTTTGAAAATTGATTGTAGTGTATTCTTTATGGCAATAAATCGCTTAACATGAAGAATACACTAGTGGAATTCTCGTTTCTGAACGTTATCGTCCAATAGAGTACTTCTAATTTTGAAACTTGACAGTTCAAATTTCAAACTATTTCCTTAAAAGAAAAAGACAGGATAATCGATTCTCGATTATATTGAGCATTAGAATATCTATTTTCGATTATTTTTCTGTGTTCACTAGGGAAATAAAAAAAAATCTTATATATCTACAAACTAATAAAAAATACAAAACATCAAAATTCCAACAAGTAACAGTTACAACAACAATTCAAGTAATCGATCTCAGATCGATATCCCTAATATTCACTCCACTTAGTTTTTGTTGTTTTAACTTTCTTTAATCGTTTCACCATTTCGTTTCATTATTAACCACAGCTTTTTTTGGTGATTTTATAATGATCCTGCTTATCTTTAAGTAATTATAGTGAAAAATAGCCTGTTACAGTGTAATAACAGTGAAATACACCTGTTACAGTGTACGTAATAGATAATCTCACTTTTTCTTATTCTACAATATCTCAGCTCCCAGATTGACAAATCTTACCAGACTTTCAGGTATTAATTGCTTATATATACGCTTTCAAATAGTCCTACTTTCACCTTGTTAACACTTGGGCCCAAGAATTTATGGAGACGTATCCTTCTCCTTTGAGTGCTGTTTTACCACCTCCTTCGCGGAGAAGGAAAACATTGTGAGGAAATCTAAACGTATTTTTAATATTGAATAAGGGTGAACGATCACACAGTCTAGCTGATGATAAGTGGATGCTGTGACGCATACATTTTTCTGCATCTATACTCGATTAAGAATCAAAATTAAGAAGCGTTGTCACCCGAGAGGACAAGATGGAATGGCTCATTTCCATTATAAAGGATCTTCGGTTATCTACACTCACCACACGAAATACAGCAGCATTGAGCTGCTATTATACGCTGGTATTCACCATAATATAGCTGCAGCGTGGCTCTTTTACGTATGAAATAATTGATCATTCCATTACCCTATTAGAAATGAGAGGAAGTCGTTCCCAGCAGTATGTCGTGTATAGGTTGTAACTTATTAATTTATTTATTATTAAGTTCTTCCAACTAAATCAATACTCGTATTTCGTTAAAAAATTACGAATCTCTATAAAAACCAACCTAAATTATAGGATGACACAGGATTTGCGGTACTGTAAGTAAGGCAAGTACAATATTTTAATTATGTTTTATCAATTTTTACTTGGATATATTTATAATCTAGATTCTTGAAATCAACTTCACTTTACTATACTTTATTACTGTTAACTAACTACCTTCCTTTTTGGTCAAGTGGTCGTAAACGCGACTGCTGATCATGAGTACCAGGGTCCGAATTCCAAATCGGGCCAAAAAGTCTGTCGAAAAATTGTCAGTATTAAGTCGGTATTAAAAAAGAAAATAAAGACGCTGGTCCTGCGCCTGATCTCTCTTCGTTCGTGTCGGTTTACGGTTTTACAGTGAGGGTATTTCCGGGAGTGCACCTGTGCTTGCTCATTCTTTGTTGGGGCTGATCACCGTGACCGAAATTTGATCTAGAGGACATATTTATTTATTACTATTGACTGTTTCAACCATGATGACCATGACATTTTACCATACGGTAAAATGGGTATCGTAGATTAAATTAGAATCCTAGTTATTTTTAAAAACTTTTCATTATTGACAGTATCAAATTGATCAATTATATAGGTATATAATATTGTTGCGCGCCACTATTAATGTCTTGTACATGGCAACACTAGTTACACTAGTGCCCTCTAGTGTCGAGTAAATGAAAGTATTGCGCGCCACTATTAATGTCTTGTACATGGCGACACTAGTTACACTAGCGCCCTCTAGTGTCGAGTAGCAGAACTAGGAGAGTCGAGATCCTTCCAGAAATTTCGGGACCGATATGTACTCGTACATTCTAGATGTCGCTACAGTAGAAGGTTCTGGAAACTAGCTGAGGCCCTATATAAGGCCGGTATAGACCACGACCGGGGCAGTATTGAATTGGCGATACAAGAGAATACTTCGAAGCGAAATAAAGGCGAACTGTGTTTTATTATTAGTGTGATTTTAAGTTGTAATTAGTGTTGTATAATTAAAGTGTCAATTTTGGTAATTCAATTGGCAGTTTTTAATTGTCTCGAACCCCAAGCTCGTAACAATTAGTGTCAGAAGTGGGATCAAATATGCCGATTTTACCTAAAGACGACACCGAGGGTATCCGTACCCGAAGTCAACGCCAACAGGAGACGGACCAGAGACGATTTGGTGGTGCAACGTCACAGACGTCGGCA